GACCCACCCAGACCAGCCACCCATACTAATAAACTGACTCAACTGGAATTGTGACCCCAGGAACTAAAGCGTGATTTCTAAACCCCTATAATTTTGCTCCAAACCTAGCCAATTAGCAAACCTAATTGGCTAATCCTTTCCCCACCAAACCATCCTTATAAACCCTGCCTCCCAAATTCTCGGGAGGTGGCTTTGAGAAATTCCTCCCATCTCCCTGCTTAGAGCTATATGGTATTAAACTCTTTCTCTGCTGTAACACCTGCTGTCTCAGTGTATTGGCTTCCTCTTGGGCAGTGGGCGATGAACCTTGTTGGGCGGTAACACTTTCAGATCCTCTTATTTGTGAATTTGCCTACTTGCTAAAATTTATTTGTAACCTCAATGCTTTTGCAGTCATTTGTGGACATGTACAGAGCAGCAAAAATTTGGGTTGCCTAACATCCACATACCCAGTTACAGCTGAAAGAGGGGACACTGTCTCCTTGTTTCAGCTCTCATGCTGTAAATATGTCCTATTTGTGGTCTATAAAGTGTCACATATTTTGCATTTTTTGTGTATTCCTTGGTAATTTTGCTGTCTAAAACAGCAACCTGGCATAGTGCTGAAGTGTTGTCTAGTGTTCCTAAGTGCAGAAGGCTGCATGCAATGTGCTTTATAAAGGAAACACAAGTATTAAATAAGCTTTGTTCAAGCATGAGTTACACTGCTGATGGCCATGAATTCAATGTTAATGAATCAATAATATGTATTAAATAAGGTGTCTTTAATCTGAAACACACATAAAACAAGATTATGTATTGATCAGTTGGTGAGAATGTTGCGACTAGAGGCTTGCAGGAAACTAATCTTACTGTATTTCCCCCTTGGAGCGATGGTTCAGTATTTGCTAATCCAGTGTTCCTGGTTACTTTATAGAACAAAACTACCGCAAATAATGTGCGTGTGTGTATGTCTTAAAGCTTCAAAAACTAGAGATATTTATCAACTTAGAGATATCTAATTATCAGAATCAAAACTTTATATTACATGAGTATGTGAAGAGCTCAGGATGTGTCTGTGGGAACACGGAATTCACAGGTTTGCAGCTGTAGATTATTAAATAAATCTCATTCACAATCCAACCTGTCCAAACTGGAACAATAAAAATATACACATTTTGACACTTGAATTAATATCTTACAGTTGTAAAATTTTCTTTTTTTCTCTGTGAAGTCTGTGAGGTTCACATTTATGTTTAATTCTCACATGACCAGAGCAGACTGTGCATACTCAATTCCAAACCTGGGTACACATAAGAAACATTTGGGGAAATTGTTTAGGATATTGGTTCCATTGCCGCACCTCCACCCCTGAGTTAGAACCTCTTGGGGTGCTGTCTGGGAATCTGTATTGTGCCGACTCGGGAGCTTTGTTAAGACAAGCGTGTGTGAACCATCATTTATTTTAGGTTGCTTTGGTGTATGGGGCAATGTCCTCAAGGGTTATGAGAACCAATGGAAGCCACCCAGTTGTGCTATATAAAATATCTGCAAAGACACCTTCTATAGTAATTTCCCTCAAAAAATGAGTTGCCCCAACTTTACCACCACCTGCAGTTTTTTGAACTACACATTAGTATAAAGGAACTGTTGTGCCCATATTGAAATGCCTCCTCAGTATCTAGTCTGGACGTGTAACAGACATCTCAAGCCCAAAATGTTTATGACAGAGCTTCTGATCTTTCCGCTCAAACCTTTCCTGGATCACATCTCAAATAACAGCAGTTCCAGCACTCCATTGCCCAAGCCAAAAACTATGGTTGTTATTTTTGGTCCCTTTTGTTTTTTCACACCTCATATTCAATGAACAAATATAACCTCTTTCCCCCATCTACATTGCTATTATCTGGTGCAAGAAGCCACCAGATCAGCTCATTCTTGGTCTCTTAACAGGTTTCTTAACACCTATCATATACAGCTGTGGTCCCCAATCCCTGGACTGTGGCCTGGTACCAGTCCGTGGCCTGTTAGGAACCAGGCCACTCAGCAGGAAGTGAGCAGAGGGTGAGTGAGTGAAGCTTCATCCATATTTACAGTCACTCCCCATCGCCAGCATCATTGCCTGAGCTCCGCCTCCCATCAGATCAGCTGGGCATTAGATTCTCATAGGAGTGGGAACCCTGCTGTAAACTCTGCATGTGAGGGATCCAGGTTGAGTGCTCCTTATGAGAATCTAATGCCTGATGATCTGAGGCGGAGCTGGGGCAATGATGCTAGTGCTGGGGAGTGGTTGCAAATGCAGATTATCATTAGCAGAGAGGTTTAACTGCACAGGAGACCATAATAAATCAACTGCTTGCAGACTCATATCAAAACCCTATCAGTGAGTGGCAAGTGAAAATGTAATAATAATAGAAATAAAATGCACAATAAATGTAATGTGCTTGAATCATCCCGAAACCATCCCCCCACCCAGTCCGTGGAAAAATTGTCTTCCATGAAACCAGTCCAGGGTGCCAAAAACGTTGGGGACCACTGATATACAGTATGTACAGTATCCTAATTCCTTTCCACCCCTGCTCCCACATAGGCATTTTCCAACCCAAGAGCAATTGTGATCTAATTAAGGAAAGTCAGATTTCATCCCACCATTGCTTAAAACTCCCCAATGTCTTCTCATCTCATTCAGAGTAAAACCAAAGGAGCTTACAACATTGTTGTAAGACCCCCATAATTCTTCCCCTGTCCCCCCACACTAGATGCTTTCCCCTCTTACTGCTCACCACACTCCAGCTACCTGGATTTGTTGCTGGTTTCTGAACACACCTGGAAAAATCATCTGTCTCAAAACTTAGCACTTGCTTTCCTCTGCTGGGAAGATTATGTCCCCAGATATTCACTACTTGATTTTAAGTAGCATATCTTCCTCTGCAACAACTCCTGCCTCAATTTAATATTGCCATTTTCCTTTTGTTTTTCTCCATAAAACTTTGACTTCCTAACACAGCACTATTTGATGTAACTTTCTGCAATGATGGAAAGTTTCCACACCTGTGATGATCAATACACTCCCTCCTAGCTACAGGAGCCTATTGAACAGTTACAATGTGGCCAGGGAGACAGTCAACAGAAGAAGTCAACATTTAGTTTAATCTTATTTTAATTAAATTATTTAAATTTGTTTGAATTTTTAAAATGTGCTTAAAGTCATTTGATTTTATAATTAATTTTAATTAAATTAGAATCTAAATAGGCACTTGTTGCTAGTGGCTACCACATTGGACAGCACAGTTCATCCAGAATCCATTTTCTTTGTGTGTTTGATGAGTAAGGGATCAATATTCCTTTTTACTGACATTTATGTACAATTTCCACTAGCAGCACCGGTTGAGAAGACCATCTTTCCTTCACTACTCATCAATACCACCTTGGCAATAAATCAGTTATACACATATGAGTGTGTCTGTTTATAGAATCTCTATTTTGATTTATTGGTCTATTTGTTTATCTCTGTGCCAACTACATACTGTTTTAATTAGCCTATGAGCATAACGTCTATATTTGTTGGAGCTGAGTCCTTCAATTTGTTCTTCAAGATTGACTTGGTTCTTCTTGTCCCTTCATATTTGTTCGTAAGTTTTAGAATCTGCTGGCCTGTTTTTAACCCTCCCAAAAATCACACCAATTTACAAACAAACACCCTGCTGAAATCTTAATTTAGGTTTGCACTGAATCGATATCTAGTTTGCGAGAATTAAAAATATGCAATATTAAATCTTCTAATCAATGAACATTCTACATTCCTCCATTTATTTAGGATTTTAGTTTATCTAAAGAGCATTTCATACTTATTTGTGTAGAAGCCTTACATATCTTTCATTAGATTTATTACCGTGTGTTTGAGATTTTCGATGCTATAGAAAATACAATCTTTTAAAAAGCCATGTTCTAATTCTTATTGCTGATATTCAGAAGTAAAATTAATTTTCTACTGATTTGATATACAGCGATAATACTAAATTTTAATTGTTTATCTGTAGATTTTTTAGAATATTCTTAATATATAACCTAGTCATCTACAAATAAGGACAATCTTAGATTATTTTTCCCCCAATACTTAATTTTTCATTTCTGTCTCTTGCTTTATGGCACTGACTAGGATCTCTAATACAATGATGAACAGAGTGATATTAACGCTAGTAACAGATGAAAAGCTTTCACTATTGCACTATAAACTGCGATATATGCTATAGGCTGTTTCGTGGCTACTCTTTATCAAATTAAGGAAATTTCCTTCTATTAGTAATTTATTGAGTTTTCTTTTTCATCATGAATGAATGTCAAATTTAATCAAATACATTTTCCATGACTATTAATTTCTATGTAAATTTATATAAGTAAAGAATTCAAGAATAAATAAACTTTATATTTACAGACATTTTAAAAAAGTAAATATTGTTTAAAGCTTTCACATCTATCAATTTTCTCTGAGAAGTAAAATCTATCCTTTGTGTTTTGGGACAGGATAGGAAACATTATTAGATGTTTTACACAGACACGACATGAATAAAAAGTAACATCTGAAATCATTAGCATTTACTTTTTTTTAGGATTTATGTTTAATTCTCCTACTGAACAATACATTTTTTTTTGCATAAAATCAAAATGTTTATTGAGATTTATGGAATCAATTCATGGGATTTAGGTAAGAGTCACTATGGCTTTCTTTAAATGAGATTTTAAAAATGCGTTAGGTAAATGTTCTGAAATTTTTTTTTATTTCAGCGTATTATAGGGGTACAGATGTTTAGGTTACGTATGTTGCCCTTGCCCGCCCCCCCGCAAGTCCGAGTTTCAAATATGTCCATCCTTCAGGTGGTGCACATTGCACTCTTTGTGTATGTATATACCCGTCTAACCAAGTTGCAAATTAGGCCAACTTTCTACTTATTTCATTTTAATTTTGTGTATTTAAAGCATTCATGCAAAGTTAACTACTAAGTAAAAGTTGATTAACTTACCGGTCATATTGCAATATAGAAGAAATGGTCCCAGGGGACCACTTCCATCTGAATCTATATAGTAAAACCCTGAAGTATTTCCTCTGTGCTTATAGGCTTCACATGACTGCTCATAGATAGCTGTAAAAAAAAAAAAGGGATCATCACTAATGAAATAGTATGAAATTAATCTCTTAACTTTTAATTTGGACACAAAATACTCCAAGTCTTGAAATTTAATATGTACATTACTGAGCAGGAGAAAGGGCAAAACTTACTTAAAACAAAATTCATTCTTTTTAAAAAATTAATATGGATGAAAGTGATTCTATAGAAAAAAATGAAGAATGAGGCTGTATTATGACTTTTTTATTGCTAAAGGAAAATAAAATTGCTTGGTCAAAACGAAAATTTAGCTTATTTTTACATTATGAAGAACAAAGAAAGAGAAGGTAGGTGTTTAAATATTAGGACCCTTATAATTATAATGTGATAACTTATCTTGTGACACCCATTTGGAATGTCTAATTCTAGTATCACCTTGTAGTAACCTAACATATGAAGCACAATAGAGTAACCTCTTTAAATAATCTGCTGTTATCCAATAATTATGCAAGAGAAACATTTTAAATAATGTTGTAACTGTACTCCTTTTTCACAGAAAATTAACTATAGATAAAATATTTTTTCATAAAACAAATATGATTCACAAACCTTCTCATCAATTATTTTTAAAGTAATTTACAAAAGAAACTTTCTCTAACGCTCTGTAATGAGAATTCAAGATAATTAAAATTCAAAGCAGAAAAAAATATTTATATGAAATATGCCCTCAGGGAGTCTCAATGTGTTTTGATCCGTAATTGGATGTTTTCATTATACAATTATACATTTGCCATGTACAAGGTTTGATATTAACACCTGTATATAATGCACAGCTCTCACTGAACACTTGGCCAAATATACTGATGACTTTCATTAAGCCTTTTATACTATGAAATGAGAAATAAACCATCTCCTGAATATTCTTCCCTAAATCTATTTTAATTTTGAAGATTATGTTAATGAGAGTTTAGACAACATGAAATAATGTGGCTCCTTTGTTCAATGTTACAAAATTTCAAGTAATCATATAAATTTACTTCTCCACTTTTCCACAGTCTGATGGTTTTATTTTGTTTCTATTATACACTGCATAGATGGAAATGTAAGCATGGATTGTTTTCCAGTCACACTTGCATTTCGTGCATTGAAGGGGGCATGTAAAAATGGTTACTTTATACATTTCTCTATGTTTATACACGTATCCATAAATGCCTTGAAAGAGCTTTGCAGGATATACACACAACTTTGTGATGGGTATTGGTAGTGGAAAAAACATAAGATTGGATGCGGATAATGGAAGGACTTCTGCTTTATGTGTATTGCTTGAATTTTTATAACATGACTGTTTAATGTATTATTTCCTAATAAAACCCTTTAAAAGACCTCATCTCCACCCCTCCAACATAACCAGGTCTACCATTCTGGCCCCATTTCTCAGAATGGTTATGGATAAAAAACCTTCAGCTCCATTTGGACTGCGTGCTCAAGAACCTAATAAATTAACGCAATTATTGGATCATAGTGCAAGCCCCAGATGAAAATAACTTAATTTATTATCTAATTTTTTTCCTCAGAGTTGTTTGGTTTATATTTAGATTCATTCATTGATAACAATTAAAAAATGAATAGTCAATTAAACATATTTAACAGCTTTCTGTTTTGAGTTACTTACTACGATAGGGAAGATGGAGGGTATAAAAATTTAAAACGTAAGGCCCCTCCACTAGCTGGGTGAGCCGGGTCAAGTAACTTGGCCTCTGGTTACTTGCGAGGTGTGGCTTTATTACCAGCCAACATTCTTTATAAAATCTTATGAGGCACTTCAATATATACAACTGACGTCCAGGAATGACTCTAGCTATAGTGGTGGATGTAGAAAGTTCTCCTGATTATGCCCTCTCTCCATCCCTGAATCAGGGATTCTGGGGGCCCTCTGTGGAGTCCCCAGGGCTGGGAGCCCAGGAATCCAATCTCAACTCTGGCAGGAGTACAAAACAGTGAACAGTGTCACAGACGAAGGGACGTGAGCAAATGACTTTGCACCTAACACCATTGCCTTAAATCAAGGCTACGGGAGATGTTCAGTAGTAGGTGTTCAGTTGCTCAGAAATGTCAGTAATAATATGCAAAAAATGGGAAAGGAAAAAAAACAGGCAATTTAGTCTTCCTGTTACATGCATGAAACAATTGGACAACTAAATGGCATGAGCCTCACAATACATGCAAGTATTTTACGAGAAAAAAAATGCAAAACTTATGACACAGGGAAAGGGAATTGGTTGTGATCCTAGGCTCTGGAACATGACTTCATGTGCCCACATCCTCACTCTGCCTCAACTATTTTAAGTAGCCTTGGACAAGTTGATTAGTATCTCTCTAATACTTCTTAAGTAAATTAAGAATGATAATAGTATCCACCTAATAGGGTGATCATCACAGTTAAATGAGTTAGGACGTATAAAATACTAGATCAGTACCTGGCATTTAGAAAGTAATCAAGAAAATTTACTATTCCGATTAATATAATCATTATCTACCACCCTTATCCTCATCACCTTCATTTAACAGGGTTGCACCAGAATGTACAGATTGTTGAGCGCTGTAGGCTGGACCTTTGTGTCTTCTCCCCACCAGATTTGTATGTTGAAACCTAACCCCCAGTGTGTTGGTATTTGGAGGCGGGGCCTTTGGGAAGTGATTAGGCCATGAGAGTGGAGCCCTCATGAATGGAATTAATGCCCTTATAAGAGAGGCCCCAGAGAAATCCCTCCCCACTTCCACTTCTGAGCACACAGGGAGAAGATAGAAGCCTATGAACCAGGAAGTAGGCCCTCATTGAATCTTCCAGTACCTTGTTCTTGAATTTCCCAGCCTCCAGAACTGTGAGAAATAAATTTCCATGGCTTATAAGCCACTCAATTTATGGCATTCTATTATAGCTGCCCAACTAGACTAAGACATCTAGTCTCTATTTGACATCTGAATCTTCGTAACCCAAGCCACCCCACCCAGTCTACCCAGGGCTATTTCTGAGAATCTCTTTGTTTAATTGTATAAACAGTAAGAATTTGGTAATGGATCCTGTTTCCATGCATACCATGCCTTCTAGAAAGTTTAGAGTTAAAATGCTGGCCCAATTCAAGTAACAGAATGAGATTATCACACATTCTGCATTTTATTTTATATTTTATCCTCAGCTACCTTCATTTTCTGTCGATGTTTTCCCTCTGCCTGCTATCCTACTCTTTTCTCTCCTGTTTTGTGTTGTGTATTTCTATATGCTACCTTGACTTTATGAAATGAAGTGTGGATTAACAACTGGCTGCTAAGTTTGCACATACACAGATGGATATACACACAACAGCGGGAAAGGAAATGGAATGAAGAATTCATCACAGGGCAAGAAAAAGCAAGTGCGACAGGCTTACAGTTATGGCAAGTAGCTCCCCGGTAACCAGTGTTGGTGCAGTTACAGTGAAAGGTGCTCCAGGACTGAGAGCATTCACCACCGTGCTCACAATAGTTGGGCAAACACCTAAAAGAAGGCGTAGATACGATCAACATTCTCATTTTTTGATATCATAAATTATTGATCATTGATACATGCTCATGTGAAAGAAAGATATCAACCCATAACATAAAGAGTAAATTTAACATGACTCATGATTCTTTAGCTGTTAAGGTACTTTAGACACAGAACAAAACCTTGGATCAATAAATTCATCAGATTTCAGCCAACTGTCAGGAAATGGTGACTGCTTAATTTTCAACATGTCTCACTGTACAGAGCCCTTTATTCTCCCTAAGTGACAGAACATGAATTCACTATGTTGTCAGGAATATCAACAGCTTACACGAAATAATATTTCATCACATTGAACATTTAAAGGAAGAAGGGATAAAGAAAAGGAAGGAAAGAAAGAAGTAGGAGGCAGGAACGTGTTTATTCACTTGGTGTATACATCCAGGAATGAGAAGGGATATACAGAATAGACTCATGAATTTCAAGCAGTGTGTTGGCGGGGGTACTTTAGAGTGCTGAATTGAACCCACAGGAGCTCCCTGGATATCTAAAATTTTCAAGAGAACTATAAGGCATACTCAACATCCGTCAGACATTGCATGACTTACTAACTCGAAGTAATTCAGTTTCAACATTAGATCATAATACATTCCTTTTAATCACATCCTATTTTTGCAAAGCTGGATTTTCAGTAATTGATTTTTTAATCAATATCGGACAAAAAATGAGCATGATGGAGTCTGATCTTACTCCAAGCTTTGAAAAAAATTATGCAGTGTCCAACAGGTACACATGTCCAATTACTAAGTAATTGTGTTTAATTAAAAATAAAATTAAAGTTTTTTTCAAATTATGCATATTGCTTTTTTTCAAAGGGTTACTCCTTGGTTAGGACATAATTAAGTTGTTTGGTCCTAAGCCACTTTTTAAATCAAAGTGTTAGGGATATCTTTTGGCTTCAGGGCACAGTGAAAAATTACTGAGACACATAGGGCACCATGAATGAAAACGTTCAGGAACTTCTAGTATTGATTCAAATAGCCCTGATCAGATTATTGATGGCTTTTAGAATTTAGAATGAAAGATACATTGAGACAAAGGCTTTAAATGCCCTGATTCATCCCAGATTAAAAAATAAATAAACTACAAAACCTGCAAAGAATATATTCATCATGGGGTTTCTTCCACCGCCTTTATTAAAACTAAGGATAGGAACTTCATGTTTTGCTCATAGGATTTTTCCAACTGAAAACAATGTTATGAAAATTTTCTGATTACAAGGACTAAAATGGCTTTAACATTCCCCTCAGCTTGACTAAAGTTTAGATAGGTTTCTTAAGGACCTAGACTTCCTTTTTCTGACAGCATAAACTTTAGAAAACCTTCAATGATTAATTCTTTCTTTGCCCCTTTGAGATGTAAAAGTTCTGCCAGACTCTGGCCAGTTTTACAACCCAGGAATGTCTATCTGAAGGACCTGGAAGACATTCCTTTGAAATTTAATCATTAAGAAGGATAGGACCCCTGTCTCCCAGTCTCCCTGGGAGGGTAGGAGCCTAACTTCCCTAGGCACCAATTAGCAAACACAAATGCCCTAATCACTCTGACATTGTTAGTTACCAGGAAATAAATACTTATTAAGTTGTTTGGACTTAAATCACTTTTGAAATCAAAGTGTCAGATTTCTTTTGGCTTAGAGGCATTGTAAAAAAAATTACTGAGACAGGTAGAACTCCATGGACAAACAAGTTTAGGAATTTCTGATAAAGACTCAAATAGCCCTGATCAGCTTATCAGGGCTACTGTATGAAAGATACATTGAGATAAAAGCTTTAAATGCCCTCATTCATTCCAGATTAAAAGATAAACTACAAAACCTGCCAAGAATATATTCATAAGGGGGTTTCTGCAGAGGAAGGATGGGAGCTTCATATTGTGCTTATAGGATTTTTCCCATTTTAACTGAAAATGATATAGATTTTTCCTGATTATAAAAAATAGATATCCACTGTACTGAAATCAGAGAATCCAGGAAGCAATACAAAAGAAATGTCATTTACAATCTCATTCTATAGAAATTACCAAAAGAAACATATAATAGATACATATGTATTCATAAGTAGAATCATAAAGAAATGCTACTTTACGACCACCTTTTCAAGGGTTCAAAAATTAATAATGGGCATGTCTCCATGTCCATTAAGGTTATATGTATTTTAGCATTTTTAAAGATTCACAGGAATCTGTTTAATGAATGTATTTAATTTTTTAAGCATTTCAAATCATTGGCAATCCAAAAAAGAGATTTTAAAATATTAAAATAATAACAATCCTAGTTGGTAATCTTACATTTAATGGATGTATTTAATTTTTTAAGCATTTCAAATCATTGGCAATCCAAAAAAGAGATTTTAAAATATTAAAATAATAACAATCCTAGTTGGT